GTGTGTGTGTGTGTACACAGAAAATAATACTTATAAATTGTAGAATGTGAATGTCCGATTAATTTCATGAAGTTTACGCATGTCATCCCATTAAATAAATTGAAAACAAGACAAGAAGAAAGTAAATAATAGAAATATTGTACGTGCTAGAGGCTTTAAGTATCCAAATTTCATTAGAACATTCACCCATGATGCTTTATTTTATTATTCATAATATGTATACAATACAATGATGATTTTTTCTTTTCTGTGTACCTCATCTGAGTCAGATTTGCATTGTAGAAAGCGAAAATTAAATATGTAAAAGTCTAGTCAATGCATTCAAAGAGAAATGGGGCATGGAACTGGGGACTACAGGGGCTTACTCCTGTGATTTATTTGCAGGCTGTGTGTCTAAATTGGACTGGGATTCCATTAAAAACCCAACTGCATTGATGTGAGTGAGTGTATGGATGTTGATTATAATATTCATAATGATGTATCCATCAAAATAAATCGTCTTTAATCGGTCCTCAATTTATATGCATTAAAAAATGTCCACGCAGACAAACCTCAACGGCACTTCAATGTTGATTTCCCCAGCGTTCTGTTGTTTTTTCTATGGGATTGCTGGGATTTGATGATGGCAGTCAAGCACCTTGTCAACACAAATGAAATCGAATGAAAAATATAAGAAAATCACCAAGGCAAAATAAAAATGTTAATGAAATTCAAAATGTTTGCGTTGAGCCAATATAAATAGCAGCAAAAAGTATATATTTCTATGAATGTCCAGCAAAGTGACGCAGACAATTTAATTAAATGGGTTTTATTCGAGAATATCAATTCAGCTATTGGGCTCTCAATAAACGAATATTTTTCAAATCTTTGAAGAGAAATTAATAGAAATATTTCTATGGAATGTTAACTTTAATTTTAAAAAATGTTTTTACTTATTTCAGTTCTGTTAGAGATCTTAAAGTATTATTTTTATTTTACTTTGACTTCATAAGTTACTTGGCACTATTTTTGTATACAATAATTATTAAAATTCCTCCAATTAAACTTTCACTTTATATTTTCAATGAAAACATTTTCATAATTTACAGACAGAAATTCTTTGAATTTTAAAATAAACTCCTTAAAGTAGAAGGGCGAAGTAAACAAGGTTACCTTTGAATGAAGGGAGCTTGAAGCAGGGATGGGAAAACAGAAAAGAAAACCATTCGGTGCAACTGAGGTATGAGTGTGTGTGTCTCGCTCATGAGGCAGGTGAAAACAGGTGTGCCAGTGTGGGGGGCTTGTCAAATTGCCAAGAGCAAATAAAAGGCGACACACACTCCCCAACCAAAATAAAAGAGAAAAATGAAAACGGTGCAGAGAGTTTCGTGTGTGAAAAAGTTTTGTTTACTAAATAAAAATAAATGCAAGTTAATTAATTAAAAGTTTAAGCAAGATAGAGCAGGCACCAACCTCGGCAAGTACTCCTTACCATGTACTTATGTTGAGCTTAATTAGCACAAATCTGAAGCAGACCCTTCCGAGTTCATTGATATTTTTCCCCCGACCACGTTTATGATTTTCCCACGGAGGCCTCGTAATTTGGCAAACACACAACAACCCAGAAACTAAACTAGTCGATGTCGTCCAATGCCAAGAACATGAACATATAGCGACGACTATATATACGATGTGTGTATTTCGTACAGTACGCAGAGTGAAATTAAATTTAAAAAATGATTTTCATGACATTAACATTGGCATTTGGCTGTCGCTAATGTTGCTGCTCGTTTACTGCAGATGATTTTGTTGCTGTAGTTGTAGCTATAGATATGGGTGCAGAGAGATACGGATACAGATACGCAGATACAGATACACAAGACAGCTGCGTCCGGCGCATCTGAGGGGGTTCCATCGTTCCATGGCTCGAGCTTCCGTTGCCGGGACACTGTCATCGCTTGTCACTCATCCGTTAACCTTCTGAGTTGGCCAACGAAATTCCGTGTTTTGGATGACAAATTCGATGGGAAATGTGTGTGCCTAGGCACTGAGAAAAAAATTGGTGTTTAATGGAATTTATTTAGATGTTTATCCTCTTTTGATTCATAGAATCTCATTTATTTCTCCCGTTAACTACATATATTTCATATAATATCTAAAAACCAATTATAATGAAAGGAATACTTATATATAGGACAACAATTTCCTATCAAAAAACCCTTGCACACCCTCGACTCGTGGGGTGCTTTGGGAACTCTCATTAATTAAATCAACTTTTAATCTATTTATACATTAAACTGAAGGAAATTCGTTTTGCCACAAAATTAATTATACGCCCACACACGCCTTCAAAACCGAGTGCTGCCTCCGCCCCAGGCGAAATTATAAATTTATAAATTATAAAAACAAGATACCAATATAGCAACATGGATGGAAACGCCTCTGCGGCAGCACTTTGATGAGAATGAGCATTCATAAAAAAAGAGATTGTTGTATTTTATGTATAAAATAAATATGGCGGGCAAAATGTTTTCAAATGTTTGCTTTTGTTGTTGTTGTCCCTCTACCAATATTTATGTGTGCTTTAATAATATTTTATGAATATAATATATATTCACTCTCTCTCTCTCTCTCTCTCTTATCTTTGCAGTTGCTCAACTTGGAAAAGCGCCAGGGCGTGGCAGTCGCAGCCATAAAAAAATCAAATAATAAAATAAAACATATGCAAGAAATCGTCAACCCTTTGGCCATATGGTTTGGCTCATATTTGAGGCAACTTCGGCATGCTGACACTTTTATTTAATTTAATTAACAGTGTATCCTCCGCTTTGCAATCCGAGAAAGTTCTCGGAAAATTGTTGATAAATATGAAAAATATAAAATAGACAATAAAATGAAACCCCTTGCGCGAGTGACCAACGTCTAATTTCGAGCTCGTGGCCAACAGGCAGGCAACAACATCAAACACATTTTGGCCTGGCCAAAATGAACGGGCGTTGAAAGCGTGTGCGAACATGAAAATAAAACATCATCTTCAGGAAATAAATTCGGGAAAAATATAAATATATAAATATACATCGAAATGAATAAATATATAGTAGAATATAGCGCATAGAGGCGAAGCCACATTCTGTATTCTAAATAAATGTGGCTATATCCCCGCCCTCCCCTCCGGAGAGGCGAGCGAAAAAGTGGCTAGGACATTTTCCCACCCCACTTAGCAGCCGGACGGGGCGTGGTCGAAGACACCGGACTGACCAGAGAGAAATAGAAAAAATTATACACACAGAGATTTAGATATATAGATATGGCGGTGGCTGTACGCTAAAAGGCATCCGAAGCGAGTGACATTCTTTCGCACAGCTGTTGTCATATAAATCATGGCTTTTATACAGGGTGTTGTGTTCATTTAGGAGATCTTAAAAATATTTAAACAAAATCATAAAAAAAATTATACAAATTTGGAAGGATTTGGAAAATATTAATGAATGCCTTTATATACAAATTTATAGTAAATAAAGTTTTGAACTTAATTGAAATAACAGTGAACATTTTAAATGTTATTATAAATATCTGTAAAAGATGAATTAATTTTTAATGTGTTTTTAAAGGGTTTAATGAATTTATTCAGTATGTTTGAACATTTGCAGTTATGTATTTCCTGTACAAAAAAATATTTAATTTAGATACAAATTTTAATCTGTTAGAAACTATAAGTAATTTTATTTTTACAAATATTTTTGTAGCGTTTCGAATATTAACTGATGAAACATAATACATAGTACATTCTTTTAAAATCTGTAGATAATACTACGTTAAAGGTGCCCCACTACTTCAACACCCTGTAAAAGCATAAACAAAGATCTAATCAAACAAAAAGAAAATAAGGAAAATCACCCTGTTCGATTCGCATAAAAGTCCGCTAAACACGCACAACATCAACAACTCAACTTTTGCGTCAGTAAATAAACAAATATTGGCTAAAATCAATACAAATGCCAGCGGCATCAACTAGATAATATACAAAAGTGATTATAATCGGGGCAACAATAAGCAAATCGAACTCATGTTTTTTGCAATCTTTTGATTAATATATTCTTTTTTTTCTGTATATTTTGTTTTATGGCACAGCTCCAGAAGACATAACATCGAATAACAATATTTGAATTAGTGGAGGGCAGAGCGTATAAAAAACCGACCACTTGGCTAAGAGAGCAACTAAAAATATATTTTTGAAGCCAAAGAAATGTTAAAAATAAAACCAAAAGAAATCAACGAATTTTCGGTGGCTACACAAGTCGTCGGCCATCGCAGGGAAAATATGAACAAAATTAAAAAGCAGCCGCTTTGTGGGCGCTAGAGAAAACGAAAAACTCAATCAGCGAGGGAAAAAAATAGGGAAAAATAACAGAAGCCGCACAGTAAATAGCCAGAAATTGTCGTCCATCCAGGCGGCGTAGGAAAAATCACCATCAGCAGCAGCAGCAGCAGCAGCAGCGGAAAAGCAGCGACAGCAGCAGCGGAAAAGCGACAGCGAGGCCATCAAGAGAGAGTGTGTGTGTTTGTGTGTGGGCGTTGCTGGCAAGGACAGTGGATCGTTGGACGCCGGAGCAGCCGCCTTCGTCCCTCCTCCGCAACCGCCGCCCGCCGCTGGCCACCTGCTCCTCCCGCTCCTTCCTCCTCGCGGACGTCAGCGGCGACGTTGTCGTGGCCACACGGTGCTGGGTGCTGGCCACTTTCGCGAATCAATTTCCGTTGCGGTGGCCGTTTCAGTTTTGGTTTCAACGTCGCCGGCGCTACGCGTGTCGTGAATTTCAAATGGCGGTCGCTGTGGGTTAGAAGTGCAAACAAAAAAAAACGTTACCAAGAAAAGCGCCAAGAAAATCGAAAGAGAGAGAGAGCGAGAGCAAAACCAAAAAGAAAGTGTCAAAGAAAAGTCAACGAGTTACCAAACAAAAAAGATATAATAATTATCATTAATAATATTAAATAATTAAAATAAAAAACAAAAAACCGGACTCATGTTGTTGTGCCCAGAACTAGGCAGCCAGCTGCCGCGGAAAAGATATCGCGCCAGGATACGCAAAAGACAGAAATGCATCTACCAAACTGATCAGGTGGAGGCCAAGGATCACCTGGAAGAGCAGCAGCAGCTGGATCTTCTGGGATCTACACACAGCCATAGTTATAGCCAAAGCCCAAGCCAAAGTCTAAGCCTTGCGCGGATCACGGCAGCTGCCCTTACCACGGCAGCCATGCTGCACACGACCCGAGCGCTGGCCACCACCTCCTCCGGAGAAGGTTCCTCCTCCCTTCCCGTTGCACTGCCATTACAGGGCACTGCCACGCCCTCAGCCACGCCCGCTTCACACTTTGAGCTGAATGCCACGCTGCTGAGCAGCACAGTGGCCAATCTGCTGGCCAACGATAGTGGCTTCCTGGATCCCGCTCTGGCTGAGGAGGATTGGTTCGACCAGGTCGTCTTGTTCTTCAAGGGATTCGTCATGCTGTTCATCATCATTGCGGCCATTTGCGGCAATCTGCTTGTTATTATTTCTGTGATGCGTGTTAGAAAATTAAGGTGCGTATACGTTATATTTGAGAATGTAATCATTTGATGAAGATAAAGAGTTGTGATTTATTTGTATTTATTTTTTGTTTAAGTAATTTCTTTCCTTTCTTATTATTTAAAGTATTTTTTTCATCAAGATATTTGTATCTTAGAATCAGGAAACTAAGGGGCGTATACTTAATATTTCAGCTAGAAAACGAATTAAATAAGAATGAAGTTTTTAATTTACAATTATTGAGTTTTTAATTATGGATATTTAACTATCGTTAAAAGAATAACTATGCTTTTCTTATTATTTCTGTGATGCGTGTTAGAAAATTAAGGTGCGTATACGTAATATTTGAAAATTTAATCAATTGATGAAGAGAAAGAGTTGTGATTTATTTATATTTATATTTTTAAAAGTAATTTACATCATTCTTTTTATTTAAAGTATTTGTTTCATCAAGATATTTCATCAAGATATTTCATCAAGATATTTCCAACTTAGAGTTAGGAAATTATGCGGCGTATACTTAATATTTCAGAACACAATATTAGCAATAGCTGAAAAGGAATCAAATAAGAATGCAGTGTTTAATTAACAATTACTAATTTATAATTACGAATATTTACAAATAGTTAAAAGAATACGTATGTTTTTTCTTATTATTTCAGTGATGCTTTTAAGAAACCTATGTTACGTATACGTAATATTTAAGATTAAAAACTAGGCAACAAAAAACTTTTGATGAAGCATACAGTTTTCTTATTTAAAACTAACATGTTTTTTATTATTTTCCTAAAATACATTACTAAGTTATTCTTTATCAAGGATTTCTATTTAGTTTTAAATAATGATAATAATAATTAAACATAATTAATAAATAACATTTTACGCGACGAAAACTAGCCTTTTTATATCCTTGCAGGGTATTATAATTTAAGTCAGAAGCTTGAAAGTAAGTGAAGAAATCATTTCCGACCCTATAAATCATATATGTATATCCTTGATCAGCATCAAAAACTGAATCGGTCTAGCCAAGTCTTGAGGAAATTAATTTTTTTTCGAAATTTTGAAAATTTTATAAGGGGTTACATCGTAAAAATTTTCAAATATTTACAATAAAATTTTATTTTTTTATTTTTTAAACTTAGTATGCAGATTTGTTAGCGGTATAGAAACTAGCACAGATTTGGATTCCGATCTGAAATTAATGCATTTTTTGCTTAGTTATGATCTATTTCCCATTCGATTTTATGATCAAATTACAATGCATTTATCTTCCTTTCTTGTTATATATTTACATAGAGTACACATACTCTTTGTTCTTAAACACATTATTTGCCACTACAATAAGTTCAAATAAATACTACGTGTTGCATTTTAAATTGAAATTTGTTAGATATATTTTCTCGTGTTTCAACAAACCCTGCCATTTATTTTGCCTTCTCAGCACAACGCAGTGGTTCTCTCGCTGGTTCTAATTATCTGTGAAAAAGCAATTAGAGCTGTTCGCGCTCCGTGTAATTTTTTCGTAATTTGCATAAAACTGTTTGCCGCCAGCGGCATTGTCTCCTCCGGCTGTCTTGATTGCCAATTTGCAGAGTTACCTCTTCTGGCCGGGCTTAGAGAGGAGCAGGGGAAAAATTACAGAGCGCTTCGCTTTCTATGCGAGCGCGATTTTCGTCAACTTTGCATAAAATTCATGCACGTCCGCACGCGGGTCCTTCCCATCATCTGCTACTGTCCTGAAATCGTGCAGCCAGGACCTCCTGTTTTTTTTTTTTATTTTATGTGCCCGCTTTGCTGTGTCATTGCGTCCCAAGTATTTTATGTGGACTTGTCCTTGTCCCTTATTTACTCAGCTCATAATTGAGCATCATCCCTTCGGTCCTCGCTGTGAGATTGCAGTATTTTCTCACAAAAGACCCGAAATGCATTATTTTAATGACAAATTAACGTTCATGACTTTATGCATTAAACCAATTTGCATACAAAGATCTTCTTAATTGCAGGCCTTGTTAATGATTTCATTTGTCTTTAATTTACTGCGGAATTTTAATGAAATGAAAGCCCATGTTAAGCACAAATATTTGTTTAGCTAAACAAAATGTTTCTAGTTCCGGAATTTATCGGACCAATTTTCAAATTTGATGACGCTTCCTCAATAATAATAATAATAATAATGATAATAAGCAAATAAACCTTGGCATTTGAAAATTGCTTAGCAATTTCCATAGAAAATACACACGAGGCCACGCACAACTCGGGCGACCTCGTTAATGATATGCGGGTGGGCTTTTTTTGGGGGCGGTGTCCTTCGCCGGAAAAGACATTATCATAAAAAAAAAAGAAGAAAACTTTTCTAGTGATAAATGATGAGACGTCAGCTGGGTCTCCCGGTTCGTTAATATTTTTAGTTATGCCTTAATAACCGACCGGCAACCAAATCAATTTAGCGCTTCATAAAGCCACCCTGCCACTCCTTCATGACGGCAATCAAAAGTTCCCTTTTTTCCGGGCTGACAAACGCTCAGTTATTCTACTTTTTTCGCTGCTAAGCTCTCTACGCAGAATTTTTACACAGTAGAGGAAAGGAAAAAACTTTAAATGCTCTTAGCCAAAGTTTGTGAAGGGCAATGAAGCCAAAAGGCGAAACAAACAAACTTTGGCAAAAAAAGGAGGCTACAGGAAAATTATAATGAAAAAAGGTAGGGGGGAGGCAGGGAATAATTAAGGTTGAACTTCGCTTAATTTCTCCTTTGCCCTGGCTGCTAATGAGAAGCGCTTTATTTTTTAAGCGACTTGCGTGTCGGTGGGTTCAGGTGCTCATGATCGTCAAAGTAATGCTCTTGCACTGATAATAAACCTGGCTAAAAAATAAAGTAAAAATTAAGCTCCCCAAGGCAGGGAAATAATGAATTTTGGAAAAGCACATTCACTTTTAAAACTTCCTCCATGTTTTTGGTCAGAAGCAGCTCTCTCTCGAGTTGCACAAATTCCATTGTTCTGAACGGCGAATATTACGCATACGTAGCGTGAAACAAGGCAATGGAAATAAAAATGTGCAAAAAAGTTTACAAACACAAAGAACACAAAAAAAAGCGCACACCATTGAAATGACAATTAAACACTGCGAGCGTGTTGCTCAAAGAGAAATGGAACAAAAACAAAATGCATACTCAACATGGGTGGCGGTAACAAGCGAAAGTATCTAAGCAGCCACAGAGGGGGGAAGGGAAAGGGGAAGGGACTGAGAGCAAGTACAAGAACAACACACACACACAGCAACAACTTTGGCAATTAAGGCAGCTTATGGTTTTTATGACAGCATAAATTTAAAATGTTCCATGCCAAACAATAAAATTCCGCCTTTTTTCCTGCGTCCAAAATTATTTGGCAGAGATGAGCCGCAGCGAGGAGTGCGCTAGATAAAGTGTACAAGGCGAAATTGTATATACACTCAAAGAAAAACCCATTGAGTTATCTTGATTTAAGGCATTTTCATTTGGCATTTATTCATTTTAAGTATATTAAACAAGCGAGCTTATGAAAGAAAAGAATATCCCATGAAATTATATGTTTTCTTTATGACAAGCAATATAAACTCAAGGTTAATCATTATCAAGAAGAATAATAATACTCAAAAGAAGTTAAAAATAGAATTCATTAATTTACCTCAAATAAGTATAATAAATAAAAGTAAATAGTAATATGACATTAGAAAGTAATATGACATTATCATTTCATAATTGGATCATTAAATACTCTATTTAAAATATGTATATATCATACAGATGTATGTTTAAATTAAAAAGAAAAATAGGTTTTAAATACAATATTCTTTAATTTAATTAATTTAATTTTCTGTGTAGATATATCTCTATACATTTATATATATGTGCCATTACATTGAGTGGGTTTTAAGAGGGGGCACTGGCTAAAACTGAGACTGAGGCGGAGGCTCATTAACGCAGCGCTTTCATTTGAAGGATGCTCGGAAACAGCTTCCGCCGTTACCATGCACTAAAGATGCCTCCCTTTTTTGCTATTTTTCTTAAATTTAAATGGCAGGCAAATTATTTGCAGTTCAAGTCAGTGGGAAAAGGCTGGGAAAGGAGCAGCCTGAGTAATGGCGTCGATTTGTTGCAATTAACGTCTTAGATGTTGAAAGTTGTTTAAGCAGTAGCCTAAGGCAAAACAGATTACTTTTGGGTAGACTTGAGAGCTTTTAAACTAAGAACAATAGACTTGAAAGATATAATTAAAGTACATTTTAGGGCCAATGGAAAAGAAGGAAAAAACATGGAAAGCACTTTAGTTTTGCCAAATGTTTAATTTACATGAAACTGTACTGTAACTTGTTTTCCCAAAAATTGCTTAAAAATGTAATTTTTTTAACTTTCTTTTGCGGTATATCTCACTTTCGCTTTAAACTTTTCCCATTTAGTTTAGTGCGAAATAGAAAATGAAAACAGGCCCTTGGAGTTCAATGAGGTGAGCTGCAAGCATCCGATTAGAGAGTCCTTTACCGGCAACTAGCTGCAAACTCTAATTGGCAGAGGCATTTGCCAGAACTCTGCTTGAAATTCAATTTAAATAACTAAATAAGGATAAACTGGAAAGGACTTACCTAGAGGATTGCGGTAAATCTCGGCTTTTCCTACTCTCTCTTTCACTCTCGTTCGTTTTGGATGGTTATAGGCTATCCCATGGAGAAAATCGTTGTCGATTCTTGACTGGCTTTTCAATTAAACCCCCGCTGGGCAGCAGAATGCATCACAAAGCTCACGTTACCCACTCGAGGGGTCCAAACTCAACTGTCAACTGGCACAAAAGAGTCGCCACATGTGAGCATATGACAGCAGAGAGAAAAATAATTCATAAAAGTCAAAGATATGTCTAAAAATATTATAAGTAATTTGTTGAAAAGGTTAGCTGTAGGAGGATTTAAAATGTACGTTCAAAAGTAATATTTTTGGTATTTAGAATAAAGATTTATTATAGATTTATATTATTATATTAGATTTATTATAATAATTATTATATTTGAACGTCACAAGATGAAGCCTTTAAAGTATTGACTTTAAATGAGAACCTTGTACGGAAATCTATTCTATTTCATTAAATATATTTACTTAGAGAATACTTTAGTATTATTATTATTTTTTTAATATTCTTATATTACATTTAAACTCATAAAAATTCTACTTTATACACAATTCATCTCAAAAATTACATTTGAATTTAGATTTTAAGAAGCTCATTTTTGCCGCAGTGCATATCCTTGCATTCGCAGGCTCTTCACGCATTCACCCATTCCATATATCCTGATTAGCCTTCCCGGGGGGTGGTACAAAGCGCCTCCCCTCCATTGCCCACTGTACTATATACATATATATACCATATTCCCCCTCCGATATTGTTCTCTGATTGCTAACATCTCTCGTTTTCTCGTTCTCTTTGCAGAGTTATAACGAATTACTTTGTAGTTTCCTTAGCCATGGCTGATATAATGGTCGCTATTATGGCCATGACATTTAACTTTAGTGTGCAAGTAACTGGGCGGTAAGTACAACAACAAACAACAAAGAACACTCACACACACACACACACACACAGCCTAAGCAGGACAACAAAAGCAGGCGAAACTGTAGAATGTTGCAAGAATTACAGTTGGAAAAACCAAAGGCAGGACCAAACAAAATGCCAGTTTTAGCCATCCAATGTGGGGGCTTAAGGACGTGGGGTTTGGTTGCTGGTTCGTGGGCGTGGCAGAAGTAGAACAAACAGCCAAAAACAAAAAATCCCTGAAAAATGAAAGCAACGTTTATTTATGCTCCCGTGCATGTCCCTCTGTCTGTGAGTGTATGTGTATACATGCACATGTATTTGTGTGAGCGAAATGCAAATGCAGAAAGTCATCTCATCTTCTCCCCGGTCACCCCTCCCTTGCCTCCCCCACAGTGCTCATGTGCGTGCATTTGTGTTCAAGAATTAAAATGTGAAAAATAGAACAAACAAGAAGTGAATCGGATAAGGATAACGACTTGAAAAGTTCCCTTTACTATTGCATTTTCAGTCCTTAATTTAGTAAATTTACAGAAAGTAAGTTCTGTAGAAAGGATTTTTATCAATTCATATAGTATACAAAGATTTCGCTGAATTATCTTTCAAACTTTATAATTGGTATGCAAATCATTTGAAAAATGTACTTGTAATAATATTTAATTAGCTTTCTAGAAGTTTTCTTCTAAATTTCAATTAAACTTTAAATAAAATGTACTTTACCAAACAAATTATTCAAACAAAATCCCCTTACGTTTTATTTAAAGCCCCATATACCCCATTTCACACATTCATTTAATGAGCACTTACTGAGAGCGAAACGACAACTTTGAAATGCTATTCTAAAGGACAAAAACCGTCAGAGTGTGACATGGTCACATCCTTCACGCCGAACGTCCGACGGTCCCACTCCGTCTGTCTATGTGGGTAATGCGATATATAGTATAGTATATATAGTACGGTATAGTACGGCATGTGGATGCGATGCCAAGTGCAGGCGGCTGAGCTCAGTTAATTATGCATGGAGGAGGCTGATTTTAAAGGCCGCGCTTAAAGCCCGACATTTTTTGTTTTTTCGCTGAGGGAGCAATGTAAATGTTGGCAATGTCACTGAAGCTGACAATGCTGATGATGAAGATAACGGTGACGATGACTCGACGATGATGATGATGATGGTGATGATGAAGATCGAGATGGGGACACAGCCATTCAAGTCATATTATGTGCACTTGCTGCCAGGCCAAAAAACTTCAATAGGACTTACATATAAATTGGCAATGGCCTGCAGTTGAGATGGTTTTTCAACCCCACTTAGTGATTTTACCTTCACAGTTGCTAGTTGCATAATTTGCGGGGGCTATGACACTGTCTATATTATATTTGTTACTTAATTTAGTTTCCTAGTCTGAGTGACAAATGTTAAGCACTTAAATATGATATCTTTTATTTATTTAGTTAAATTGTTTGACTCAATTCAAAATTAAAATAGATTTACTAGGAAAAAAGTCATTTTATCAAAGTACCAGTGTCATAAAATAAAAGAGGAAACTAACTAGGGCAAGCCGAAATTTATAAATCCTTGCAGTTTGCAAATTAATGAATAGAATCGAATTGGAAATCCAGCACAAGTAAGCTTAAAATATTTTTAAATGCTTTGAATCGATAATTATCTATATTTTTATATGAAAATTTATTCGACATATTAAAATTTTAAAACCTCATAACTGAGCCAAAAAGTCATTAATATTAATTCAGAAAGCTTTCCTATGTTAGTTTTTGTTGGGCTAATAAATCTGCGTACTTAGTTTAACTTTTAAGAAAATTGAAATTTTTGTTCAAATTTTTGACAATTTTAATGATGTAACCCCTTATAAAATTTGGAAAATTTTGAAAAAATTAAAATTTTGTCAGACATGGCTTAAAACATTCGTCTTCTGATGCTGATCATGAATATATATGATTTAAAGGGTCGGAAATGACTCCTTCACATTGTTCTAGGCTTCTGACTATAATTATAATACCATTCTTTGACCCAATATTTTTGTATATTTTTATATGAAAATATGTTATACAAATCAAACTTAAAAATCTCATAACTTAGCCAAAAGAGCATATATTTTGATTCAAAAATCACTCTTGTGTTAGTTTTTAGAAGTTTAATAAATCTGCGTACTTAGTTTAACTTTTAAGAAAATTGAAATTTTTGTTCAAATTTTTGACAATTTTAATGAGTAACCCCTTATAAAAATTATGAAAATTTTGAAAAATTAAAATTTTTCTCGGGCATAGCTAGATTGACTCAGCTGATGATGCTGATCAAGAATATAAATGATTTATAGGGTCGGAAATGATTCCTTCACTGTTTTTCAAGCTTCTGACTGAAATTAGAATACCCTTTAAGGGTAAAGTAAAGCCCGGAAAAACATCATCCACCAACTCGACCAGCGTTGGATAGTCGAAAAGTTTTTGAAACTGATGCCAAACGGGGCGACCGATAATAAATTCAGCCGCCTCGCAGGCGTTTTGGGGAGCCGGATACGCAGACGGAGACGGAGACGGAGCCACCAGTTACCAGCCACCGATACACCATAGCCGAGTTGAGCCGCCAAGCCGCCAAAACGGAGTGGCAACCAAGGGCGACGGCGACAGCAACAGCGACGCAAGTTTTAATGAGTTTTTCATGCAGCCCCCTCGCCCTCCTTTTTTATAGAGCGTCCTTGCCATGGCCCAAACCTTATGGCCTATTTTCTGGTCTCGCAGTGCATTTAAGCTTTTAATTTGGGTTGGTCTGGGTCCTCCACGATGTTCAGTTCAGGGGCAATGTCACCTGGCAACCGAAACTAAGATGAAATCGATAAAGACATAAATCAGACGTACTGATAAAGAAGTGGGAGCAGGTCTAACTGGTGGTACAGATTCCGGAACATGCAAGGACTATATCCTGAAGATGGTTATGACATTTAAAAGAGCTTTGATTTGAGCTTTGACTTCCATAAAACCTAAACTAACTATTTTATACTATGACAAAATAACTGCAAGATTATTTTAAAATTGAAATATAATACATTGTACAGATAACAAAAACAATTATTTATAGAGTAAATACTAAAAGAGTAAAAATATTAATCAGCAACAAATAACATGATATTTTTTGAAATAATAATCTATTTGCCAGTAATCAACTTCTTTATTTACTTACTTTTTAAAGCAATATTATAAACAAGCAAAAAACTTTCACAGAATATGCATTTCATTGTCAACACTTTATACTATTTGCTTATACTTTTTACAATGTATACTTTACAATGCGCTTCAGGGCATAAATAAAAACGTATTCCCGCAAAAAATTGAAATTTATTTTATAGCCATGACTTTATAAATATATTTACTTTGGAGTTTAAATATAAAAAAGGGAAAGGGAATAACCAGAAATGAATCGTCAGAAAATATATAAACTGCAGATTCATACCTTAGATAATCAGATACACAATGACTTCAAAAGTCGAACCCCGAACTTTATTGGATAATCATGACGATATTGATGCCTTCTTCCCTTTCTCCAAAACTCTTTCAGCTGGAACTTCAGCCCCTTCCTGTGCGATTTGTGGAACAGCCTTGATGTCTACTTCTCAACAGCGAGTATTTTGCATTTATGCTGCATATCTGTGGATAGGTAAGCTTCATCGCTAAGCCGCCATATGGAGCATCAATAATGTGACGATTTTCCGCTTTCCCCCCTATATTTTCCGATTTTGCAGATACTATGCGATTGTTAAGCCGCTCAAGTATCCGATTAGCATGACGAAACGCGTGGTCGGCATCATGTTGCTGAACACATGGATTTCGCCGGCGCTGCTCTCGTTCCTGCCCATCTTCATCGGTTGGTATACCACCGAGGAGCACAGGATCTATGTCCAGCAGAATCCCACACAGTGCTCCTTCGTGGTGAACAAATACTATGCCATAATTTCGAGCTCCATTTCGTTTTGGATTCCGTGTACCATCATGATATTTACGTACTTTGCCATTTTCCGGGAGGCCAATCGCCAGGAGAAGCAACTAATGATGCGACATGGCAATGCGATGCTAATGCATCGACCATCCATGCAGCCATCGGGTGAGTAATGCTACTATATAGAACTCTAGAAACTTGTCTAAATATTTCTGAGATTATCTCATCAAACTCCCGCATAAGTAGGCTATAAATTTCTTCATACAATGAGTTATTTTTCTGACTACTATGATTGACACCACCTCCACTTAAGTTATATCGTTTAGTTGGGAGGGGGCCTTGCAACGTAGACATTTATCAAAAGCTAAATTTTTCCTCCTCTCTTTTTCCTTTCCTGCTCGCCAGGCGAGGCACTGAGTGGCTCTGGGTCGTCGAAGACGTTGACGATGCACGAGGTCGAGCAGGAGCACACTCCCACCAAGGACAAGCACTTAATCAAAATGAAGCGGGAGCACAAGGCCGCACGCACGCTGGGCATCATCATGGGCACCTTCATTCTCTGCTGGCTGCCATTCTTCCTGTGGTGAGTACCATCCTCGCGCTGACATGGGATTTTGGGGCATAATTTATCTAATGTCACGCATGCATAATTAAATATTACTCATACGGCCCGTGGGCCATTGTTTTAACACCACCGAAAAACATAATCTCATTTATGCAAAGCCCGCGCAGCTCAGTCATGCATCGGAAATTTATGTGTATATATCTCCTTTGTCTTTATGCACGGAAAGAGAATATACATATATCTGCTTATATATTATAAATTTAAAATTAACATTGTGCCCTTCTTTATAGGTACACGCTCTCCATGACCTGTGGGCCCTGCCAGGTGCCGGATATTGTCGTCTCGATCTTGTTCTGGATCGGCTACTTCAACTCCACCCTGAACCCGCTCATTTATGCCTACTTCAATCGCGACTTCCGGGAGGCTTTCCGCAACACGCTGCTCTGCCTGTTCTGCAACTGGTGGAAGGATCGCCACCTGCCGCTGGACATTGACATCCGGCGGTCGAGCCTGCGCTATGACCAGCGGGCAAAGAGCGTCTACTCGGAGAGCTACCTCAACTCGACGACACCCTCGCACCGCCGCCAGTCGCAGATGGTGGACAACTTATAATACAGGGACGAGGCGCTGCTGACACCCATTGCCCAGCAGCAGCAGCGGCTGGCGGCGGGCGGATCCCGCCTGGGTGGACCCCTGGCAGCACCGGGACAACAGGATAAGGAGCGGGCCAAGTCCTTGGCTGGCGATGATGTGCAGGAGATTCAGATCGAAATACCCATGGAGTACATCAACAAATGGAATAAGAACAACAATGCTGCCGCCTCGACGGCCTCGAGCCATGTGTAAAGAGTCCTTGGAAAGAATGGCGTAGGGGTGGGTGGAATCAATCGATTGCAGCCGGGGGAATCAATTTAATGCAATTAAAATGTTCCATTAATTTGTAAAATTAATATGCCGGCTCATGCGTCGGCTGATTTACTCGTAATGTTGACATTAATCAATCAATCGTTGGAGCGTGCCAATTCATTTGGCCGCCACTGTGCACACCCTCATTTATTTTCCTTTCCTTTTCGCTTATTTTATTTTCAATTTCCGCTGCCGGGTCTACCCTACCCCAATAGGATAACTTATTTATTTATGATTTTGTGTCGTTTAAATCTTGTTGTAAATACTGAGTATTTTTGTACGACTAAATTAAGCGCAGGTTGTAAACTCATTTTTGTACGCCAATCCGAAAACATGTAAAGCATTTCGCTCACACACAAAACTACCAACTAAAAGAAGAATCTAAAACAAAACAAAAAACCAAAACAAAATTAATTAATTACAAAGGCAATCACCGCAACTCACTGAGCTAAACCGATAGAGAAATAGAGAAGAGCTATAACGCTAAAACTGTGCCAATTAAGAGACCGCAAATTATAGAAAACTACATGAGAATTCCCGCAAATAAAATACAGAGAAATCATACCAAAAAGAAAAAAAGAAAACATTGCAATTAAATTAAAGAGGAGAAATTTTGGATAAATTCGGAGAAACTCATAACCAAAGTCAAGGAAGCTAAAGCAAAGCTTAAACCATTTGTTAAGGACAATCGCATGAATTGAAAAATGCTCAAAAAACCCTAATAAAGTTAACCCTAAAAACGTACGAATAAACATAGCGAAAATTATATAGTTAAATCAATATATAAATATATAGCAAGTGGCAGTCGAAATCAAAAGTAAGGGGTAGTGAGCCCAAGTTAAATTAGCCAGCATATAGTTCAAGTGCATCGATATCAGACTAACCAAATTACGTGTATGTGTAGTGCGTTTCCGTTTCCGTTTGACGTTTGACGTTTGCCGTTTTTCGAAAGTGTTTAGTGCCGAATTCCATCGCGAAAGTGTATCAGTTCGAGTTCGAGTTCGAGTGCGTGACGAGTGAAATATAGAGGCAATTGCGTTGCAGTTCCTGGAATTAAGTTGACTGTGTAGCCTGTGAGGGCAAGGCTTGAGTACTGCTTCCGAAGTCAGCAACTTGATTCCAGCAATTGCGGCCGCAATAATCCACAACAAAAGAAGTGAGAGAGCGACCGGAACTCTGCTGAATTTCGACTACGAAAAAAGCTATGGCAATACAAATAAGGCCAATAAGCAGACAAAGCATTTTGTGTACTCTGTATAAAATAACTAACGACTCCAAGGACTTGTAGCCGCAACTCGCAAAACTTACCAATTTATGATTTTCTCTTAATCCGCAAGCCAAGCATATAAAGTCAAGAACATTTGTCAAGTCAAGCCGAACCAAAGGCGAAATAAATTTATAAAGAAAAAATAAACAACAAGAAACTTTCAAGCTAGTCTGAGAAAAAAATAATTATATATTTAAAAAAGAAACTATTGCGAAGAGTGGACATAGCACACAGTTTAGAGGAGCCAAAGCTCATTATGTACTATATAAAGGGTGTATAAATAGATGTTTAAATAAATGTTATCTACATAGTAAGTATTTATTATATGACTTTCCTTAAAAAGATGAAATAAAACGATCGGGAAAACAGAACAGATGCAACCCAATCTCCAAAGAATAAAACTTGTTATATTTTTATAAACAAATGTCGATACCTAAAAAACTAATATTATGTACATTTATATTTGTATATGGGCATGTCTGTGCGTTCTCGTGTGTGTGTGTGTTTATGTATGTGAGTTATTTATCCAATTTTGTTATGTTTTTTTGTTCTGTGTTTCCAAAATAGAACTCTAACATTAAGCTAAACTGACAGGCTACTCTAAAGAAAAACAAGTAAATGGTAAGAAAACTAAGCTACTAACTAAGTGAATATGGAAATCAGATGTATTATAAAGCAAACATAACGAACTTCAAGTTGGAAAACAAAGCCGAAAGCAAAACAGAATAAATTTAAAAACTACAAATATAGCCAAACGAACTGGTTTCATTTTTATCTCGCAAAAGTTTCGGACAACAAAACTGAACTAAAGCTGAAAAGTAAACAAAGTCACAGGACTCTCACTCTCTGGTACAATTACCCATTCCCGTCTGGGTCGAAGTACATTAACAGCCATATTATCGGGACAAAAGTAAAGCTGATTACAGCTGCCGGCGACAGTTGTAAACTTCTAAATAACTGTCAAGTCCCCCGGTTCCGACTTTGGCTGACAAATTACAAATTTGCTCGAAAGCCCCGTGGCAACGCGTCGAATGAGTGATTTTTATTTGGCAAATGCGTGTGTAATTTAACCGGCGTCATGGCAATGATAACCGTATCCTTTCAGGGAACTCAGCGCCTTCCTGCCTCCATCTCTCTTAGAAAAGTAATTTATCATAAGACCCGGCACTCTGTGTTAAAACGCTTTAAATAGCTCAACTGCACCTGTACGAAAAAGTTTTTTGTGCCATTCCAAAAAGGGCGTTCTTTCTTTATTTATTAAATTTATTTAGCAAAAAACCCGGTGACAGACACCACAACGAAAAGTTGCCCCGCACAAGTTACAGCTCCCCGCACACACCTCACTTAATTTTAGCTGGAACTTTTTCAGTATTTAAGAACTTATAAAGAAAAATTGTGTGTACACTGTGTGTGGGGGGAAAGTGTGTTCGGATATTATATTGAAAACGATGATTAAATTGTGCAGCAGTGACAAATACCAAATTCAAATATTTTCCCTGAAATAATAACACATTGACAGCCTGGCGGCGGGTGAATTAATTGCCAACGTTGCCAAGTTAAATTCAATAAAATCGTTTCACTTTTATTATGTTAAAGGTTCAGAGGATGAACAGTTAATAGTTTTACGTGGCGCATGTCATTATAAATATACAAAACTGAGTTCTAGTACTTCCTATGTTTCCTAAAGTGATTACACTTTAATAACCTGACTTATAAAAATAAAAAATCCAAAACACAGCAAAGCTCTCAAGTTGTGTTTATAGAATTTACATCAAAACCCTCTTCTTATGCTGCTAAATATTATTTTCCAAATTAGACCGCACCGAGAGAGGCAGAATAAATTAACAATGAATGCGAGTCAAAATCAAACTTCATTCATCAAAGTCAGGCCCTAGGCGCTAGATTGCAACCTCTGCTCTGTCGTAGAGTCCGGGGATTCCCCACCAACCTCCTAAAGACTTCTGTGAGTGATGCACGATGGCATCGGGGCTATGGCAATCATCGCTCATAAGACCCCCGCCAATTTGGCCGTGACAAGTGATAGACAAGCGCTTCTTGGAGCATCAGAGGCCAATGATGGGTAAATGGGTGCCTTATTGCTCATCAGCATTTCAATACTTAAAAGAGACACAGCACCTTATCAGGCAGTCCGTCACTCAGGGCGTCACTTAAATGGGCGAACACACACAACTGTCGGTGACACAACAATCGTGAAATCAAATTCCTCTCTCGCTTTTCACTATACATATATATTTTTTATGAAATTTTAATAACTTTGACATGTGCACAGACTCGGCAGCACTCCAAGCCGGCATGTTGCTCATGGTATTGATGTTGCTGCTGCTCCTCCCACTGCTCCTCTGCTGCTCTGTTCATGTTGTCCTGTCCCGCCCTTTGTTGTTCCTCGCCGGTGTTGTTGCTGTCTGATTTGCACGACATGAACACGCGCTGAAATAACAAATCTTTTTTAGATTTACGCACGCGTTTTGCCTGGGTGGCATCAAAATATTTTTATTACAAATGCAAATATTGACGCCCTGCAGGGGGATGGGATGGGGTTGGAGTACTATATAGTTGTCCTGGCTCGAGTGCCTTGAGCGGCAAATTCGACTGTCTGTGGGGTGGCTACCAAAACAAGGAGAGGGAGCTGCCAAGGGTTGGGCGTTCAATCAGCTGTTTAGCCACCCCTTAAGAGCAGAGTTGCTAAGAAGGTATTAAAGTTAAAGAAGATTTTAAGAACCCTAATAAATAACCTATAGAAAGATTTGATAAATAGACCTTAAAGTAGTTATAAAAACCTTGAAATAATCTAGGTTTAAGTTCAATTCCCTGCTGTTCTTATGGTTTTCTTCTACTACCTTTCCTTGCAACCCTGTCTAGGATTCAAATATCCCATTTACCGCCACAAATTGACTGCGCAGAAGCTCTCTCCTGCGAATTCGCCGCATCCTGTGTTGATTTGCCGCCAAAGGACTCTGCCGTTTATGGCCAAATTCAGTCTGTGGCCAGTTACCAGAGCGGGAGCTCCTCGTTGCTGCTCTGAAATAAATAAATATCCTGTGAGGCAGCAGAAATAAACAAAAAACCACAACGAAAGCCAATTGAAACCTGTGGCCACTTGTCACAAACACACAGACACACATGTTGCCCCAAAGTGACAGTGACAGTTGTCTCGAGTGGTTAAAATATAGAAAATAATGTACAACAAAAAAATATAGAATTTGTAGCCGGCTGGGCAGTGGAGTTCGCGTGTGCGTGTTTCGATTTTGCGGCACTACAAAAACCGATATGAAACTCCATTTATGACCGCCGTAAGTCGTAAGTCGTCTTGTACGTGTTTACATTAAAAAAAAAATATATACAAAATAAAAGAAAAAGAAAAACCAAGAGAAACGTGCGGCAAATTGCGGGCAGTAACTTCTTTTTGGAGTCGGGGGATAGAAATCAAAAAGAAATTCCATTTTAACAAATCGATTTTGCTGGCCTTTTTTTGTATGCGGACAGCAATATAAATAGAGCTACGTTTGGGCTAATGACAGATTAAATTGTTGGCACCCGCCCAAACAAAAAAAGATTAAAGGAGAATAAATAGAAGAAAGCACAAATATCACAAAATCGCGGGGCATTAAAAAATTACGAACCGCGCGTGTTAAAACTTTGAGCTGTTATCAGCCAGGCAAAAACAACAACAAGTAAAACAGCATTAACAATAAACTGCGATAAAAAAAAACGACAGGAACAACAACAAACAAGCAGGAAAAGTTTCATTATTTTCGGGAGGCAGCAGGCAAATTAGGAAGGACAATGAAGGCGTCGCGACTGTCGGCCTCATCCAGGCACTCCTGCCCTCATCATCCTCATCCTCATCAGGAGCGGCGGATGGAAGGCGCGTGTTGAGCAAGTAAGCAAACAATGAACAAACTTCGCATTCCTGCTGCACGTGAAAAGCAATACAACAAAAAACAAAAACCTAGATAGGACAAGTCTAGAAAACATAGAAACGAAGTTCAGGATACCCTGTACCTAGCTAGGAGAAATAGGGATAAATATGGAAAATACTGTAAAGCTATAGAATATTTCCTAAATGCTAAAACTTTATTAAGACCTAAAATGTTATTGAAGGGCTTTTTCAAAACTAAATTCGAATTTTATTTCTAATAGGAAATAGTTTAAATAGTTTAAATATCTATAGATACTTTATAAGGTTCGCTATACCTTCTTTACAATCTTCTGGTTTTTCATAGAGGGTATTTAGACAGAAAAAGGCGAACACTGGCACAGAGTTGAGGCCAACACAAACACTACCAAACACACTCGGAACACGGAAACACACAGCGAACGGGAAACACATTGAGCGCCATTTTTAGTGGTTACGTAAACTGGAAATGCCGTCTAGTTAAGCGACTGGCGTTGGGGTCAACACCGCTGATGGTGACTGCCGGCTGGTGTCTGCTCCTTCTGGCTTTTTAATAAAGTTGAAAACGTTAGTTGTCTGACACTCTAAATATGTACATTTTCCGCCGGCGGCACGGCCTGAGTCTGCTGCAGGCTTCTTTCTTCAATGATACAAATCGCACAAAGAACAGTGGGATAGCCATTTATTTTATTAGTTTAAAGTGTATAGTCTGGAGATTACAATCAAATTAAGCGATTTAGGTATTGCTGAATAAATACCTATACTAAGGATAAGGTACTTAAGCAAATACACTAACTTCCTAGTATTGTAGTAGCAACATTTCACGACCTTATCTAGGTTATATTTCCATTGTTTCAATTTTTCCATTCTTTCATTTTTTTATTTCAACATTTCCCTTAACCCATTTTCTTTAACATTTCATATTCCCAGCTGATTCAAGGGTTAACACATTGATTGCGCTAATTTGAAATGTTGGAAGGAATTGTGCACGTACACGTACATATCCTTCTGCTCTCCATTGGGTGCACTTCCAGGCCAACAGACGTGAACGTTTCGCTGCTCCACAGTAATTTTTCATTGCATTTCTGAAACACAATTTCCCCTCGTTATCCCTTATCACAGAGTCCGGAGACTGCTGGAGATTGCTACTGCAACTGCTACTACTGTAGTTTTTGCTGCAGGTCAGGATGCCATTTGGCATTTGCCACTTGATTCGGGCCTCCTCAGCCTTTAGCCAAGTTAAGCCAGCCAGCCTTTGGCCTTTTTTCGCATTCGTGAATGGCGAAAGCGAGCGGCTATCGATTTTCCTCAACTTGACTCGACTTGGGCTTAAGGATTTGCACCTGGGAGTGCACCTGCATCTAATTGAAATTCGGCTGGCCGGGCTTTCAAATCAAATTTAGCAAAAGCCCCCGAGTTCACCAGCGGATTGCTTGAAAACTCTGTTCGTTTTGTGCGATTCAAAAAGTTTTTTACCCAGCTTTCAAACTAAAAATGCACAGGGGGAAATTTATAGCTGAAATATATCAAATATTATTTGCTTACGTTCTTTTTAAGGTGTTTTTTGAGCTCAAGGACACCTAGAGAGTTCAACGTAAGGCAAGTAGATGTTGTAAAAAGAAATCCTGCATCAAGGTGCTCCTAAGTCAACATTTCCCTGAGTGTGACTCCCAAAGCAAATGGGAATCCCACACGTACAACTGTCGACAGATAGACAGATGGATAGAGACCGACAGTCTGATAGACAGACGGACAGAGATTGTCATGCACAAATTGAAACTTTTCAAGTTACGCTCGAAAAAGTTTGAATTCAACTAATACAGTCGAGTTTCAGATTGTTTAGTCATACAAACTCACACACGTGTGTATCTGCGTGTATGGATGTTTTATTTGCTGGAAACTTTCGAATGGTTTCGAATTCAGTGGGATTCTTCTGTGCACAGACCGTTACCCATACCGAATGTAAGACAATATGCGGCTAATGCCCTTAAAGCCGGCAAATATTTACGCATAAATGTTTTAAATGTAAATGCCTCCTCCATTTATTTGGGCAATATCTCATCAGAATCCCCCAAACGCAGCAGCGTCTCGAATGTCCTTCGATAAATGGCTGGGATAAATGATAAATAGAATGAATGCCTTTGGGCCATTGTTGTTCTGCCTTGCCATTCCGATTGGCGTGTCTGTTCGGATTTAGCCATAAGCTAATCAAATCCATGGCTGGCATAATGATGCGACCCACAATGGTGGCAAAACACTTTAGTCGGCTCTGATTGAAAATTTAATTGCGGCGAGAATGTTGTCAATCCATAAGCACATAAATTAGAAATGTTTCCTAATTGAAGACATAAATATTTGCAATCAAAATAGAGCGAAAAATGTTGATTCAATACTGAGTTTTAACAAATAAATGTAAATTTTAAAATATATTTTACGCATAAAGAGTGACCTAACCTTGACCTGCTGTGGCTGAAAACATAATTAATGTTATTTCCCAATTAGATAAAGGCAAAACATTCTATAGAAACTTCCACTATGCCATTTTATGTTTGCTTTCCAATTAAAATGGTTGAGTTTGGTATTATTTAAATGGTTTTTATTAACCACAAATTGTTCGCACTTTGATGGAAGTTTTTGCTTTACGATGACCACAAATCTTGTATTTCTTTTATCTTTTATATTGCAACCCATTTGCTGTGCAATCGATGAAAGGTTTAATAAAAACATGTCAATTGCACAAATCGAAAGCAGAATGAACAGAAACCAGAAAAGAAAAAAGTGAAACAAAACAGAGACCAGTAAAGCAACCACAGAAAGCAATCTGAGGAGCAACAAGGACTTAATTCGCAAAAGTGTCCCGTGCCGGACTCTCCTCTCTGCGCAATCAGTTAAGCAAATATTTACAACCGAAGCCGGAAATACGCTTAAGAAAGCATTTAAATCAGTTTCGCATTTTCCCCGAGCACTCGAGTGGAAATGGAAATACAAATGAAAATACAAATGGAAATGGAAATTCCCTTTCCGCGCCGCTTCGTATTTTATTGCCCACTAAATGCCATGAATGATATTTGCCTTTGCCGTTGCCTTTGACTTAACTCTCGCCGCAAAAGTTGCAAATTAATAATATTAGTGCCAGTGGGATGCCTGGTCCTCCTGGTCCTTCCCCAGTTCCTTCTCCTTCTCTCCGATTTGTGGTCGTCCGTGAGGAAGGACGACAATGGCGGATTGGCGGCTCAACGTTTTCTCATTAGGACAACTTCCGGCGGAGTTCGGTCCCGTCACCAGAGGACCCACCATCGCCAGTGTTTATGTCATTAAGTGGCGCTCGACATCCAAAGGACATCTGGGAGAGTGTGTCAAAGTATCTGCTGGCTTTCATCCCCTTGGCCTCCCCGGGAAGGAATTGTTCCATTTGTGTTTCGCCTTTTGCAACGGATTATTGTTTATAATATTGTAATGTGGCAAAGCCAAATAAAGTGGAGTGCTGCCCGTGTGAGGTTTAGTAGAAAAGTTTCTTAACTTAAGTTTACTTTTCTGTAGGTTTTTATTGTATATTTTTATTTTTATTTGAAAATTCAGAAGTTAAGGAAACGCATTTAACAACCTCATCATAAATCCTTCAATCATACTCATAAAGATAGAGTTAATAAATTTCTTGGATCCTTCTTGGATATTTCCCTAGTAAGTCCATCTCTCTTTTTCAAGTAAATTCAAGTCTACAAAATTGAACTTTTAAGCTAGGCTATTAGTATTTTACAAAGATGTTTAGGCAACATTAAGGGAAAAAAAGTGCAAATCAAAACAAATCCTTGCAAAATAGCCCACAGCCTATGAAAAGTCACTTGGCACATGAAGAACCCTTCTGCAGCAAGTCAACTTTTCGGGCAACCCTCGTTCGCAGAGCTGCTTAAGTATCCTTCATTCGACATGTTTACTTTGCACTCGCCTACTCCCTACTCCGAATCCAGTATCCTCCGCGCTTTTCCCCCATGTGTTCTCACATGACTGTACACTGGGGAAAAACCAAGAAAACCGACCTCAAAAACGAGGAAAGTTTTTGAGGATTTGGCTCCTCATATACTATAAAAATTAATAACAAAATCTTCCAGAAGCTAGGAATTCGATCATAGTAAATCGATCATAACTCAACTAAAAGTTCATTAATTTTAGTTCGGAAAGCAATTCTGTGCTACATTTTATAAAGTTTATAAAAATACATCTTTAATTTAAAAATTGTAAAAATTGCATTTTTTTTTTAATTTTTCACAATTTTAACGATGTAATCCCTTATAAAATTTTCTAAATTTTGAACAAAAAAAATAAATTCTTCCCAAACATAGCCAGATCGATTCGGCTGTTCATGATGATCAAGAATATATATGGTTAATAGGTTGGGAAATGATTCCTTCACTCCGTTTCATGCTTCTGACTGATATTAAAGTACCCCGCAATGATATACTGATAAAAAGCACCTTAAGTTTATTTAAGACTGTAGTATCAATTATTTTATAGACCTACACTTTTTCGTTCTGAGTGCTTGAGGGATTTTTTTTGTATCGCTAGCTGAAAGCCTGCAACTTTAGAAACCATTGAGAAAGCCTTTTGTGTGTTAGTTAAAGGTTTGCCTTGGCCCTGCTCCTGTTTCCCTCTCAATGGAGGCGTTTTCCTTCTATTTTCCCCTCTGTTCCTGTGCTCCTTGATTTTTTTTTTGGGTTTAGCTTTCGTTTTTGTGTTGTGTCAGGCATGTGTCGAGGAGGAGAAGGACTCTCTTTGGCCAGGTCCTTCGTCTGGCCCATGGGCCTTGTCGGCCTAGGCCTTTGTCTCTCGGGGCGCTCCTTTTTTTCTCCTCTTTTTTTTTTGGTTTTCCAACACACAAACTCTACACGTATATTATTTATGCTATTATTGATTTTATATGTGGGTTCAATAGAGTCGACTGCGAGCCCAGGACTCGCCCTCTGGGAGCTCCAGTCGCTGCAGATTAA